CAACCTATGACCTCAGCCACATAAGTCTCTTTTGCTTATTTCCTCTCTCTTTTTTTTATATTGGATATTGAACCCAGGGGCACTCTACCACAGAGCTACATCCCCAGCCCTTTTCATTTTCACTTTGAGATAAGGTCTTGGTAATTTGCTGAAGCTGGCCTCAAACTTGCCATCCTCCTGCCTCAGACTTCTAACACCAGCCCTTCCACCCCTTGTGTTCTTCACCCATGGATTTCTCTGGCCACATCTCAGCAGCCACTACTTTCCTAAGGTCTCACTGAATTCTGAGCCCCACCCCTTCCCTAGAGGCCCACTGCCCTTGCCATTAATCATTACCTCTTACCTGCATGAATGTGCTACCTTTCTGAAGGGGCTCACTGCTCTGTTGATCTTCCTGGGGTACAATCACACCACAGCATTTTATTGCATAAGACTTTCCCAAGATTCCCAAAGCCCATGGAGTCCCACCTTTTTACGGTGGCCTACAGGGCTGATAGGTGTATCCCCTGCCCACCCAAGAGTATAGACCTCTGCACACATCAGTGGTCTTAAGCCATTCAGAACCCCTTAGGTGTCCTGAAATATATCTAGCATGCTGTCCCTCAAAGCTGTGAGAATGCAAATGCTCCTGGCATACCCTTTACCAGAAGGTTGAGCTCAAACAGCTGTGGTGAAAACTTCCCAAGCCTCCCCACTATACCTGTCCTCTTGTGCACATCTTCCTAAACTCCCTGAAGCTCCACACCTCTGTGCTTATCTGACCTTCCCACTGCACAGGAGACCCAAAGGTAGCAATGGGGCCTCTTTTCTCCAGCTGGATGCATCCTTGTAAGGCAATATTCCGACAGTCCCTCTTGCCTTAATCCCAACTGCAAGGAGGTTCCCCTATCCACTAGCTTATCCTCTCAGGAATTTAGAACTGTTTCCAGAAACAAGGTCTTCCCAAGACCCATGAATGGTCCCCACTAGAGCCTCTTCCCTGAAGCTACAGCCACTGTAGCCAGTCTTGAAGATGAGGGCGACCGGGCCCTGGGCCCCAATGGCTTCTCATGGAACAATCTTCACTGTGATATATACCAACTCCAGTATCCCAAATTATTATGCACATATGTGCTGAGCTCTATGGTGCAAAGACTTGGTCCTCCTTGGGCACTGAGAGAAATGAGCTCCAGGAACAGGTCTAGCATACAAGAGATGTTCAATGTATATAGGTTGCATTTCAATTCTCTCATTTAACATTCAAGGCCAGGACTTAGAGGGGACTTTTTAGTAGCTGTGCCCACATATGCAGGTGAATCTGGACTCTGGGTGACTCCACAGTCCCACTGCTCCATGCCATTGTCCTCTCCTTCAGCCTAGCACCAGCATGAGCACAGCTGTAGCCTGAGGGGGTACCCTTATAGGAAGCCAGTGACAACAGGGCCTTCTTTGCACATGCCCTTTCCAGGTCAGGGAGCCACATTAGCTGTCAGCAGAGGCCATGCAAGGGTCTCAGCTACAATGGACCACAGGAGTCAGAGTTGGGCGGAGGGTATCCGATAGCATCACAGCACATTGGAACTTAGGAGGTGCCCTGCCATATTGGTAAGGAACAGTAAGTTGTGCAGCAGGCAGACTTAGGCCACACCCTTCCTATCATACAGTGGAGCAGTAGGCCTGGAAAGTACTGACTTGGAGCTGGATAAGGAGGATGCCAGGAAGGCCAGCATATGAAGCAGGCTTCCTTTCCCTCCCATGACAGAGCAGTCCTGAGAGTGGCTATTGGTGTTCAGGGACAGCTGGATCAAATGTGCAACATACCACCATGCTGTCAGGTGAGCTGGAGGGGACTGCTGACTTACAATGAAAGCCCAGACCTTGAGTCACTTTCACAGAGAGATTTATCGAGAATGCTAACAGCACAGGATACAGTACTTCCCAACAAAAGGTGCAAACGCGTCACTTAGAAAGGCATGCTGAGTATTCTTTGCTTTCACATGTATTAAAAAACTTACAAAAATAAAATAAAACTGCGTGCTGCCCATCTTTTCAAATAGTAAAAGAACCTTATGAAAAAACCACTTGATTTTACAACAAAAGACACAAACGGACATTTTTATGTAAATTTATAAGGCAAACTCTTTATATAATAAATAGGTTACAGGGATTCAGTGGGGGGTGTTTTTGAAACGTATACAGGTACATTCAGACAGGTTTACTGAAATGGTACAAATTTCCTTAATAAATTGCCTTTTGTTTTTAAATATATCAGTGCTTTCAGTCATTTGGCTATACACAAAGAACCTTTTTTGAACACTACAAAAAAGCAATCAATATTTTTGTTTTTAAAACGACCTACTTATTTTCTAAAGTAATTGTCCCAAAACACAAAAACTGAAGGTGAATGCGACAGAGGGCTTTTAGAGACCCCCTCCAGCTAAGTCTGTCCTGGGCCTCTCCCAGTACCCCATGCATCCCCCAACTTCAGGCAGGCTTTCCAGCTGGAGCCAGCTCCCTTTAGTACAGGGTGGCCTGTCACTAGCAGCACTGTCTCACAGATCCATTTGGGAGGGGGCCAACATCCTGCCTTGTTTTTCCAGCTACTAAACTCCATGTGCAAATGGTCACTCAAGGCATCACTGTCCTTGCCTGAAGGCATTAAGGGAGCACCAGTCTGTCCCTGTTCTGAGAGCCCAGAACAATCTCAACCAAGGGTAATGGCTTCTGAGAAGGATCTGTTTGCTATGGAAAGGGAAGGGGGTTTGTCACATCCAAATTTTGCTGGGGATCAGATGAAAGCAGAGAGAGACAGCCAGTACCCTCCACTGTCATAACCCCCAGGATGGTAGGGAATAGAGATATCATATTAGTGCTGTATCCCTTGGAGGCAGGATCGGGCAGGAAAGAAGTGTTCTGACTGGTAATGCCCCTGGGGCATATCTTGGAGACAAGAATGCCTCTTGCCCCTCCACCTGGCCTTATCCAGAAACAACAGCAGTCAGGTGGAGAGTGGCCAATCCATCTGCCAACCCACCCCTAACCTGTGTCCACAGTGGGACATAGGGGCATGGGGAACCAGCTGCATACTCAGGCACAAGACCCTTCCTCCTCCCTCTTTAGCAGGGTCAGCTCTGCTCTCATATCCCCTCCTGGCTCTCCTTGAAGGAACAACAATCTTGTCTTTCCTAAAAATAACAATGATGGTAATAATCTGGGGGATGGGGAGCCAAAAGAATTCACTGGATGGAATAAAAACTGATTTTGCTCTAACTTTGAAAATGGCAACACATCAGCTTATTCGGTCTGTTGGCTTGGAATGGGACTCCAGGGCTCAACCTCTTTGAGTGGTTTCTGGATGATCTGGGCAGGGGTCATCTCTTCAGATTGCCCCTCTTGTCTCAGTCACCATTCCCCTCCTTCCGAATGCTTTTTTTTTTTTTTTTTTAAAAAAAGGTATCTAGAAGCATTTGTCTCTGGAACAATTACTTTAAACATGGTTACAATACAGACTTCAGTTCAAACACAGAAGAGATTTACTTAGCAAAGTTCCTTTCACCCACCAAAAATTACACAAATATAAGCCTCAACACCACAGTTAAGAGGACCAGTAGAAAGAACCTCAAGTTTGGAACACAAAAGGAGGGAAAAGAAAAACAAACCAAACCCAAACAGAAAAACCCCAGAAAGACAAGGAAAGGGTGAAGAAGGAAAGGGAAGGAGAGCAAACACAGCACACATTACAGTGTCCAGGTACACGGGGAGCCCAGCACGAGGAAAGGGCTCGGCACACATTGAGTAACAGTCCTGGTGATATTTGGTCATATATTCATCAACTACTGACTCTGGAGCGGCTGTTATTGATTGAAGCAGTGACAAATCAAATGGAAAAGGAGGCCGTGGTAGCAAGGGAAGGAGCAGGCTTCAAGTTCTGTAAGCCTTTTGCACTCCACTGTCCAGCTCCCCAGAAACACTGAACCGGGTGGGCCCTGCTCCATCCGGGCAGGGCTAGAGGTCACTGGGTGAGGCTAACTCAGGCGCTGATTTCACATCAGTCACAAAGCACACACGTGGACACCCACCTGTCAGTGGCCAATCAGCGGCAATGGCCTCTCATCTCCTCTGCCCCCATCCCAGGCTGGCTAGGAAAGAACGTCGCGACCCACTGCTAATACTGAACGCATACTGAAACAGGCCCTGGGACATGGGCCCAGAGGCTGCCCAGCTCCAGTCTTCCAAGGGGCCTGAAGGTAGACCGGCCACTCAAAGGGCCTACGACCGTCTCTCTGTTGGATTCTGGCCTCAGAGAAGCAATGATATGGGGAGGGGTAGATTTTGGCCCTAGTGATTATAATGCTCTCTGCTTTGGAAGAACAAGTTTCTGGATTTTGTTTTTTGGTGTTTTTAATTACTTAAAAAATGATCAAAGAGAACTGTTACAGCTAAACTCTCTAGCGGTATTGCTCATTAAGAAATACAAAAGCAAATGCAATTACTCGTGGGAGAGAAGAGAAAGGGACACTTCTGGCATCTCCACTACTTCCTGGAGTGGACCCAGTGGACTGCCCCATGTGGTTCTGGGGTCCCTGACATTCTACCTGGTGTAGCTCATGGGTTCAGAGACAGGATAGGTCTCATCTCCCCTCCAGCCATCAGACCCAGTAAAGTAGGGAGGGTGAAATGCTTCGAGTCTTGCTGGTGGGGAAGCCTACCATGGGCTCCCCCAGCCAGGTCACTAGGATGGGAAAGCTGGGCCACCCCTGTGCATCCAGTTCTCCACCACCCCTTGAGGTGGAAAAGACCAGGCTGTGCCAATGACTACATTCTGGACTTCGGCAGGTTGAGGGAATACTCCTGCACCCAGAATCTTAGGATCCCTTTCATAAGCACAAGAGAAACAGTGCAAAACCTGGGTGCTGCCTAGAGCTTCCTTTGCTTGGCATAGGGAAGCCCTTGGAAGAAGTGAGGAGAGACCACAGATCTGCTTGGACCAAAGAAGTGACCAGCAGACAGATTTGTCATTTTTTTTTCTTTTTATTTTCCCTTGTCCTATGCTATGGTAATCAGAAATATTGTAATTAAGCAACAGGTATAATTTTAACAGGTCTTTTTGTGTGTGTGTGTGTGTAGAGCCACAAGCAAAATGAGTTTATAATTGTGCAATATACAGATATATATATATATATATATATAAAAATCCAACTGCTTTGTGTGTCTAGTTGGTGCATAAAATAAAAGGGACAGGAAAACTAAAAGCAAAACTAAAAAGCAAAACAAAAGCCCAGGACAGAGGAAACAAAGCAGGCCTATGTGTATAGTCTATAAGTTACTGGATATAATCAGGGTCACCAGGAAGAACAGCTTTACCACTTGACACACAGACACTGCGAGCAGAGGGGCCGCCAGTGGGCAGGAGCCAAACCTCTTGGCCTTTTCACTGCATCTGCTCTCACTGCTGAGCAGGACCTGATAAAAGGTAAGGTAAACAGGGGGGAACTAGGGAGCAAAGGCGATTTGCCAAATGCCCCAAAGTTCTTGAATTCAAAGGCCAGACTTTGTTCCATAAAGGTCTGGTCCCTCCCTCTGCAGACAGGGGCCCTGTCCTCCTCCTTCACCGCCCTCTCTCCCTCTGCCCCAGGGGCTCTGTGCCTCTTCAAAGGGCAGGCAGGGTGATCTGGGGGAGGCAGAGAGGCTCTGGGGTGAGTTCAACAGGGAGTGCTAGGGTGCTTGCCACTCAGCCACTTCATTTGCACTCAACCTCTCCCCGACCAGAAGGGAGCAGAGCAGAAATGCAGAGGGAAGGCCCCCCACCCTGGCAGAGGACCTTCCCAGTTCCCTCCATAGAACTGTTTTCCTGACAAAACAGTGCTCGGACAGGCTGTCAAGATAAGAGTGGAAAATTGGGTGGTGCTGGGACTTCTGGGCCACTGGTAAATGTTCTGCTTCCCACACCAAGAGCTGGCCTCTTGCAGCTTTGGGACCAAGCAGGCTGTTAACCTTCACACCACCCACAAAAGATAGAGTCAGAAGCCATGTCCTCGGGGACAACAACCTAACATGGTTCTCCACTGACAAAAGGCCCAGAATCTCAAGAGGCCCCTGGTTCTATCTCCTGTCGCAGGAGGCTTCAGATTGGAGTTTCCTTTGCCTATAATGTTCAACAGACATCTTAGGCCAAGCAGTAAGTATTTTTAGATCAGCATTTTTGCAAAAGCTTGCTCTTATTCATCAGAAACATCAAAATGTAATTTCCTGCCAAATGTTTTCTAGGTTTTCCTTCTAAATTGTTGAGAACTGGTTTCAGTGTTCAAATTTTCCCCTTTATATGTAATTTTAGGCTCTGGAGGAGGCAGTATCCTAGCGATTTATAACAATTAGACTAAGCCTTTTTCTAAAGATTGATATAGTATCTAAAAGAGAAAGACATCAAAATGGAGAGAATCAACAAATCCCTTCAGAGTGGAGCTGGTTCACTGATGCAGAGAGCAGGGATGAAGAGTGGGAAGAGGATGTGGAGGGAGCAGAGGGTTTGGCCCAGGCATGGGGCACTACTGCATTTGCCCCTGCCCCACTCCTGTGGCAGGTTTCTCAGGTCCCCTTCGGCAGCAACTTGGGGCTTTGCTATGCCATTGTCCACAAGGGGCTCTAGAAACTGCATACTTCCCGAAGTCTAGGCCATTGGTCCTAGAGTTTGCAGGTGTGAACCTGAATCTGGAGACCATAATGGGCAAGGACACGGGCTATGAACTGATGCGCAAAGGTCTTCTCAAAGAACCGGCACCAGTGATCTCCCCACCGTCGTCAGCCCAGACCCTGGCTGGCATGCTCTGTGAAAGGGGCTGTGGCTGGATGGGCACACAGGGCTCTGGCTGCTAGACTCCACTTGTGCTAAACGAAATCTGATTGGTCCCACCTGGTAGATTCAATACATACCCTTTTGCTCTCTCCTGGGCTTGAGCCACTTATCAGAGATCCTATTGGCTAAGGAAACTCCTTTCCCCACCTAACTTGGCAGTTTGTTTCTGGTTATTACTGTCTTTCATGATCACTGTCACAGCAGTAACATGCTCGGCAGAGAAGCAGGTGACATCTTAGGGCTGCTCTGGTTCCCATTTCCAATGTGTGTGGTTGCTAGTCTGGTATGATGCTACTGATGAATATACTGTTCTCTGCACCCACACTAGGGTGGCAGCTTTCACCATCCGGTGAGCTGAGAAGCTGGGGCTCTTGGCTAGTCTGGCATTGATAGACTGGGGGATGTGGTTTTTCTAGATGTCCCTTCTGCCTTTTGATATGGACATGCAGTGCCAGCAGAAGGGAGCTGTACTAGAGCCTGGCTGTGCTGAGCATCCTCAGCTCACTGCACTGTCAAGGCCAGCAATTCCACTGGTTACGATAGACCCACCAATGGGTAGGGCAGGGCCAGGCTGGGTATACCTGCGAGAAGCTGAAGGATATACAGCATTCTGTCAGGAGAGGAGGTAGTAACTAACAACTAGGACAGGGTAGGGGAGACTGTGGATGTGTGACCTTAGTGACTTAGCCCAATGGTATCTGAAAGCTGTCGGTCAATTCCTATATTCACATATTCACTGAAAGATGCCCCCCAATCTTCATAGTGTTCAAGTACAGACAAAATTGAGGTCACACCCCAAAACTGGGCCGGACACAGCTGGTGAGAATCCCATGGCTTAAGGCTTTCCCTCCAACCTCCTACAACTTGACCCCAAGGCAGGGGTGGCCTGGGAGCTGCAGGGCCCATGCCTGCCAGGGTGATAAACTGCCAAAGCTGCCTATTTAGACACGACTGACTCATGATGCCCTTATTTGGGGAACAAGGAATGGGGAAAAAAGGGGGAAATGGATTAAACCCTAAGGAGCTGTAGACACCACCTGCAGTTTGGAAACCAACTCTAAGGGAAAGCATCTGGGGAGTGAGGAAACTGCAGGTGGGGCCCAACTGAAAGAAAACAACACTTGAAATGCTGTGTTCCCAACCATGAATGCCCAATCAACCCAGGTGACAGGGGGGCCTGGTGGCCCCTACACTCCTCTTCCCAAGACCAGATGGCACCCAGCCCAGGAGCCACATTTAGCTGGACTAAGTATAATGTGCAAAAACCACAACATTCTTCTTGGTGACAACCTGGCCAGGTGTCGTGCTTGCGTGGATAGGTAGGTGTCCTTTGTGGGTGCGAGGAGTGCGAGGCCACTGCAGGGTCAGGGGCCTTTTGTCCTTGGAGGAAGAGGAGTTCCAAAGTACTCGTACCCTCCTCTGACCCCCCTTCCCTTCCTGGGGAGGAGTCAGAAGTGAGGCTGGGAGGATCAACAGCAGAGCGGGCATAAGGGATTGGATCGGCTGATGGGAGTCTGGTTGCAGGACTTGCTTTTACAGCATAGGGAAATGGATACAAATATGCTAGAAAGTCCAACTATGACTCTACAAACAGAACGGGGCAAATTCCCTCGCTTCTAACCATTCCAGAAGAGACAAACACGGTTTTATCTTAAACTATTGATAGGAACTGTCAACTATGGTTCCTGATCACTAAAGACTGGCAAGGAAGTGCTAGACAGTTTCTATGATGTTTCACTCCTTCATGATTACACCGTATTAAGAAAGAAGCCAGGGGACAATAACTGAAATACACAAGACAACACGCACTTGACAGTTCATGGCAGCAGCTCACATGGGACGTGCCTGTGGGTGTTTCTGGAAGCATAAGACTGCTGTCTCATTTGCTACTTTGATAAAGTACTTCTCAGTTGGACAGATTTAGATATAAGAGACATCTCTGTAAACACAGAAAAGGATATACCAATATGATGAAGATATGCAGCTAGATAAGGACTTCCTGAACAGAGGTGAAAACTTTGGGATCCCAAATGAAGAGTGATCAATTAAAAATCCACAGCAAGCCCAAGCTTCTAAACCCCAACACCACACTCACAGACCAGAGATTGAAATGTGTGGTGTGTCGGCCCCGCCCAGTCTCTAGCAAGCAAAAGTAAAATAGTTCCACTGGAGGACTGGGTAGGGAAGGGAGGGCAGAGGAGGGACTGGGGACTTAGGTGCGGGTGCCAGCTCAGGTCTTGGGAGGGTTTGCACTTGTCTTGCCATCTGCCCTGCCACACTCTGCTAGACATCAGACTTCTGAGGGGGGCCGAGGGTGATGGGCCTGGAGCCCATGCTGGGCCACTCAATGACTAGCAGGCCACAGGGGACCTCTGTGCCTTCCTCAGATACCACATGTGGCCTAGCTTCTCTGGCCCACTTCTTTAAAGCAGAAGGGTGGAAAGGCATGTTGTTTAGGGTCTGAAGTCTTTTGCCTTTTTCTTACCAGGGAAGAGGGCCTACCTAGGAGAGCAAAAACTCACTGCTCTTCACAGATGCCAGGGCAGATTCAGCAGAGCCCAGGACTTCCTCAGGGATCAGAAATGATGGGGCTGGTGCTGGTAACAGGGAGGCAAAGGGGAAGGAGAGTTCTAGGGGGTGGAGCCAACTGTGTCAGCTCAGTGTATGGTTGGGCATTGTGGCTGCCTGGAACAGAGGGGATGAACTGGGAGGTAGGAGGAAGGGGAAGAAATGAAAGAATGAAATGAAAGACAGGCAGAAATGGAAGGACAGAAGAGAAACCAATCAGGAAGTCCTTATAAAATTGCAGCAAACACTTAGAGTTTCGGAGCTTCGTGGGAACCCTATGTGCTGAGACCACTTTAAAACAAGCGCAGGTATATACAGATCCAGGTAGTTCTGAACACCATCATGTCTGGTGGCTTGAGGGACAAAGTGTCACCAATTCAAGCCAGCTTGCTCTCAGAGCATCTGTTTGTTTTGAAGTGGGAACATGAAGACTCAATAGTGCAAATAATCTAAACTGTCCCTAAAGGAGAACTGGAAAGTAATTGGAAGAACATTTTCCCTCTCTTCCCTCCTTGCCCTTTGTCCCATCAATAAGTCCCTAACTACCAGTCACAGACTGCTCTGAGCCACTAGGAATCTCTCTTGCCCTGCTGCACTAGGCCTGGCCTGATCCTGGGCCAGCCTGCCTGTGCCTCCTCCTGCTGCTTCCATAGCTTCTCTTTAGCGCCACCCACTGGATGAAGTGCCTCGAGAATGGTTGATGCCACCTCACCCTGGGCCCTCTCCTGTGGCTCAGGCCAGTCTACACTCAGCAGTTCAGGACTCCCTCTTAGCCATGCCAGAGTTGGAGCAGACCAGGTGCCACCTTCCTGTCCTGTGAAATGTCATCAGTTTTGGACTGGGGCTGACGTGGGGCTAGACTTGTGCCACCACGGGTGGGATCACATGGGCCATAGCCACTGGCCATCTCCGTCGTCTTCTCTAAAGAATCCAACGGTCTCTCCTGCCTCATACCTCATTGTCCCACCATGGTTGGGAGTGGGAGAGGTGAGGGAGATAGAGTAGCTGTGGGTGGGGTACCAATGGCACCAAAAACTGGAGTGTCCTCTCAACTGTTCTCTGTCCTTAATGACCACATGAGGAAAAGATCTGGGTGGGAGGGGAGGTGCCTGGTCAACAGCTTGTCTGGTCAGTAGTATCTGCAGCAAGCCTTGTTGAAGGAGCCTAGTTTAGAAAAGTGCAAAGCTACTTCTGGCCCTGGTTAGGTCTTCAACCTGACTGTGCTTGTCGGTAAGAAAAACATCCCCAATGCTCCAACTACTCCCACCCTGAAGCCACGAAACTCTAAGTTTACTGAAAGAAAAAAAAATATTTTTTATTTCAGTTAATCGGGAAGCTTTGTCAGAGCCCTACCCATAAGGAGAAGAGACAACAGCTGCCTTTATTCTTGTTGGTTTGCTTTGCAATCCGCTCTGTGTAAAGTCAGCTAACTCTCTCGGTCACGGGCGTCCGGCTGTCCACAGGCTCCTCTCTGTTTGGCCTTGGCATGGAGGATGAAACAATGTCTTTGCGCTCTCCCTCCCCTCGGTGTTTGTACTTTTCTGTGGCTGTGGCGGCAGTAGCAACGGCGGGCTGAGTCTTAGCTGGCTCCTTGGGACAGCCGTCACTCTCCAGCGAGCCTCCTCGGGGCATCTTCTCCTCTTTGCAGACACTGCTGCTCAAGTCCTGGGGCTCAGGGGGGCTGGTGGGGTCCTCGGAGCTCTCAGGCTCGGGTGGGGGCGGGGGTGGGGGCGGGAGCAGCGGCACAGGGGCCTTTGGGGACTCTGAGTGGTGGTGGTGATGGTGGTGCTCCTTCTTGGGGGGTGAAGAGGCGCTGCTGCTGCGCCCCTTGGGGCTGCTCTCCTTGCTTTTCCGCCCGGGGCTCTTGCAGGTCTTCAGTCCCTTCCCACTCTTCTCACCGAGGGTGGACACCAACAGGGGCTTMACTACTTCTTTGACCTCAATGCTGACTGTCTCACGGGTCTTGCGCTTCTTGATGGGGAGCACGGTCTCCTGCACGGACCGGATGGAAGACTCCTTCACGGCTTTTTTCTTGGCCTCAGCAGCAGCAGCTGCCACCACACTCCCTGGCTTTCTGCCCCGTTTCTTGGGAATAGCCTGGGGATCAGCCTCAGCTTTTCGCTTCCTGCCAGGGCGTTTGATCACCATGACCTGGGCAGATGTGGTGGCTCCACCCCCCTCGGCCTTGCCCCCAGGTGATGCTTGAAAAGGCATTTTGACCAGGAGCTTCCCAGGACTTTTCTCCAGGACCCTTTTCACCTGAACACCTTCGGATGCTGCTGCCTTGGGTCTCGTGGTGCCGCTCCCTTTGGGGCGTCCCCGACCTCTGCCAGTTCCTGGAGCTTTGGGAGATTTGGGCTTCTTAGGTGGTTTCTGCTCTCGCCGGGAGGGGCTCCCTCTCCCAGTTACCGTGAAGTCAAAATCATTAGGGTCCAGGGAGGTGTCGCCTACCTTTTCGAAGTACGCAATCAACTCCACTTTAGAGCGAAAGGCTTTTCCTTGGGGACTGTGGGACAAATGAAGAGACACAAAGAAAAATCAGAAGCTTTCCATAGCAATATCAGAAATGAGGCAGAGCAGATGGTGCTGGTGAGCTCTCTGATAGATGTTATACTCGATCAAGAGTCACACTGAAAAAAACTCAGGATGAGCTAAAGGGGCACAACCAGGTCAGATGTATGGGCAGGAATCAGGTCACCAGGGAGTGAGCACCTGTATGGCCTGCTCTGGTGCCAGAACAACTCAGTGCTGGCTGCTCACCAGATGTTGGCTGGAAGCCCTGATGGGGAGCACGATCTCCTGTATGGAGCAGATGGAAGACTCCTTCACGGCTATAACTATAACCCAGGTGGACCTGACTATAACCCAGGCCACTCCTCTGACCTTCTGTACAATCTAGCAACCAAAGGGGTCAGGTTTAGTAAAGTGGGGGCCATCAGGCTGGGGCTCATTCTGCTGGTTGTTGCCCAGGCCTGATCCACCATCAGAACATTCCTGTGTCTGAACTTGGGCATGGTGCTCAGTTGCTCTGGAAATCCATTTCAGTGGGATAATGCTTTGCTAATCCTTCTTAGAATTGTGGAATTAAATGAGACTGTTCACAATCATACTTTGAAAACTGCTAGCCTTTCTGGGATCATTTAAGGTGCAGAACTGGGATGTACTTCTTAACTGCTCCTCTAAACCTTTGACCCTGGAAGTTAACTCTGCTTCAACCAAGAACACCCAGCTGTCACTCTAATGCTAGACAAATGCAAAGGAGACAGCTGGAAATGCACATAGAGCCTGTCTGCCTCTTTTCCCAGAAGCCCTTTTAGCACACCTTACCCAATACTGATTTGCAGAGGAAAATAAAATAAGACTAGATACTTCTGCTATTTCATCTCCAGACAAGGACTTGAGGTATGGCAAGGGTAAAATGGGCCTGCTACCCCTAGCACTTCCAGGCAGGATAGAGACCTCTGTACAAAGTCTTTTTTTTTTTTTTTTTTTTTGAAAATTTATTTATTTATTTTTTAGTTTTCCGCAGACACAACCTCTTTATTTGTATGTGGTGCTGAGGATCGAACCCAGGCCGCATGCATGCCAGGCGAGGGCGCTACCACTGAGCCACATCCCCAGCCCCTGTACAAAGTCATTTTTAAGCATACCTGGTCCTTCTGTTCATTATTTTTTTCGCTCCCCAGGTGGGGTTATCCACACACATTTTTCTGATCAATGAGCAGCAAAGAGCTATAATTCCAATGGATCCCTGTCCCTGACCTTCCCACCCTGGAGAAACAAGACCAGCTCTTACTTACTTGATCAAATAGACATCATACTTCCCAGCGGAGCGGCCAGACTTCCTTTGTTTAAGCTTTCGTGTCCAACCTTCAGGCAGGGTGGGGTCATCATACATGGGTCCCCGGTCACGAATGATGGAGCGGCGCTGTTTGGGGGAAGCAGAAGCTTCTGGCACAGCTGGGGCAGAGCCCGATCCTTCTGATGTCTCTGCTTTGCCTGCCTCTGCTGGCTCGGCAGAATGGTGGGCTGATGGCTGCAGAGGCTCATGTTTGCCTTCTTTGTCTTCTTTCTTATCTTTCTTCACCTTTTTAAACTTCAAGGGTTTGTCCTTGAGGCCCTGAAGATCCTGGTCTTCTGACTTTTCTTCCCTGAAGTGTTAAACAAGTATGTAAGTATCACAGAGAACACACTGGTCTGCAGAAAAGCAAGCAAGGGCAAATTTGGAGCACATGTGAGGCTACTGCATACCCAGATCCTGGTGACTTCCCCAGTGTATTCCTGGGCTAGCCTGGGGCCCAATGCAGGGACTCTGGGTTGCTAGTGGTGTTGACCAAGTGAATCTGACCCATAATGTGGCCACCCCAAGTCCCAGTCAGAGCATCTCAAGGGAGTGAGCAACCTGTACGGGTATCTTTCTTTTGAGTATAAGCACTTGGAGCTTCTTAGCAAATCACTTTGGCAGAGGCCAATTTATGAGTCATACCTGAGGGCTCCTGGGCTTGCCGACTGACAAGAGGCCCTCCACGGGAAAGGAGTTGCTCACCCCAATGGGGGTGGGAGTTTCCTCCAGGAAGGCCCAGGTTTGGGTGAGTTTTTGGTTTTCTCAAGTGTGTTAACACACCTATCAAATCTGTGCTCAATAAAAATCAGCGTGTGAGGCACAATACAACTTGATGATAGGAACATGGCCTAGCACAACCCCCAGGGAGATGGTATACAGCAGTGTCATGAAAACACCTTATACAAGGTTTATAGCCAGCCAACCTGTGTTCAAATTCTGGCTTTGCCACTTTCCAAACATAGAACCAGGCAAGTGACTTCAGTATTTCTTGCCTCAGTTTCCTCATCTCAATAATGAGGCCTCCTTACTGTGACTATAATGGAATAAAATTCCTGAAGGTACTATATAAATGCCAGCTATTGCCAACTGCTGCTCAGGGTTCTGGTGTGAGAAGAGATTCTAGGTCATGTTTTGTTTTTTTTTTTTTTTTTTTTTTTGTGTGTGTGTGTGTGTGTGTGTTTGTGTGTGTGTGTGTTCCTCGGGATTGAACCAGTGCATGTGCACCCAAGGCAAGCACTCTACCAAATGAGCTATATTGCCAGCCCTCACATAGGCCTTTACTGCAAGACACTCCCTTATAAGGAATGGCCTTGGTCCCAGCAGATGTGGAGGGAAAAGGACAAAGGTTTAGTTCAGTGTGTCCCCTTCCTGCTGGCACAGATGAGCACCCAAAAGCACTCTCCCCATTCCTCAGCAGGATGCCTGCCCATTATTTTATGAAGACAGAAGCAGCTCCCTCCCTACACATCAGTTCAGCCTGGTAGGGTCCCTTCCTCATGTATTTTAGGGATCAGTTTGGCTGTAATGCTCTAGCAACCATCTGAGGGAAACAAGAGACTCCAGGACTTCAGAACCTGGCAATGCTGTGGCCTGTACCTCTGAGCTGCAGGCCAGGTCAAGGGAAGCTTATAAAGAAACAGCAGCTACCCCCCAGTTCCTTGGTTAGCAGTTTATTCTGGAAAAGAACATGACCATTCTTTTGTGTTCTCAGCTCTAGAGTTCCCTGTCCTACTTGGTTCATGTTAGTGCTGGTCACCGCCACATGACTGGTGTACCCCAAGCAACTTCCGCTCTTGCCCTCATTGTGGAAACTGCAATAAAGGCACTGTGGTGTGCACCAACAGGAAACTGGATCTCAAACAATGTGGTAAGTCACTAAAGGCTGGTTAGTTAGCTCCAGGACTCAGAAGCTACATGGACAAAACTTTCCAGAATGATCAGGTCAGGTGTGGGGAGGCAGCAGTGGCTCCCACTGAGTGAGAAGATCCTAGTGAGGGAGCACCCCAGCTCCACTGTGGCTTATTCCTGAATTTCTGCTTATCCTGAATCTTCCTGTAGCAGTTTAGGGTCCATAGTGGGGCTGCTAGTTTCACCTAGAGCCATGCCACATATAGATGCATCTAATAGCCCATGTGGGGGGCCTTTTCTCACTGAAAAGTATGTGTCCCTAATGTGTTTCAGCACAGGCTCACTTTTTAAAAAAATTTTTTTAGTTGTAGATGGACACAATACCTTTATTTTATTTAGTTTTATGTGGTGCTGAGGATCAAACTCATTGCCTCATATGTGCAAGGTAAGTACTCTGGCACAGAGCCACAATCCCAGCCCTCGCTTTAAAAAAAAAAATCTTTTTTTTTAAGTTGTAGATGAACACAATACCTTTATTTATTTATTTTATGTGGTGCGGGGGATGGGGATCAGAACCCAGTGCCTTATGCATGCCAGGCAAATGCTCTACCACCGAGCCACAAGCCACAACCCTGCCCCCCCCCACTTTTCATTTCTGTCACTCTTAGGGTTCTCAATGGTAAATGAGTAAAAGCCCTGGGAATGTAGGTGTGGCCTGTGGCTTGATTATTCAGCCATTGGGGCTGGACCACTAGGCAGCAACTCTCCATGGAGAGGAGAGAAGGGGAGCTCACTAACAGAGCAGGCAAGAGAAAGGCCAAGGCAGCAGACAGGCATTCTACATAAATCCCCAGGGTCCTGCCTAATGCCAGGGCTGCTCCCTGGAAACTACACAGTGCTGGAGTCTGAGAAAAACACTGGACTAATGGGAAATGTTGGCTTCTTCAGAAATCTCATTTGTATTCTCAAATACCTTAACTACCACAAGGTCAAGTACCAACTATATGACCAAAGAAATGCCTTCCAGAAATCTTCTGAGAAGAAAAGCATGATGATATTCACAACAGCATTATTTTGACTAGCCAAAGACTGTAGACCCTTCAGATCCCTGCCATCAGGGGCCTGGTGAATAAACTATGGTACAGCCACATGCTGGACTTTGGAGCTTCATAAGGATGACCTGCTGCAAAGTGAGTTCCAGGATTCATTGTTAAGTGAAAAAGTAAAATGTAGAAGTGTTTATCAAACTACCTGTGGTGCAGGAAAGAGAAACTGAGGAAGGACAGAAGCCATTAGTTGGCCTGGAGGTAGCAGGAACAAGGTGAGAAAGCTTTAGTAGTGCCCTGGGTGGAGCTCAGGGTGGAGTAAATGGAGGATATAGTACCAGCCTGAGGGTAGAGAGAGAGTCACTGGTGGACTGATGTGGGGCAGGGGTGAATTAAGGACCAAGTTAGGGGCTGGGGATGTGGCTCAAGCGGTAGCGCGCTCGCCTGGCATGCGTGCGGCCCGGGTTTGATCCTCAGCACCACATACCAACAAAGATGTTGTGTCCGCCGAGAACTAAATAATAAAAAATTCTCTCTCTCTCCTCTCTCTCTAAAAAAAAAATTAAAAAAAGGACCAAGTTAAAGTGTGGGGGGACACTGTGCCACTGATTGAGAAGGGAAAGATCGATGAGGAGAGGCCCTCAAAGGCTTTTTAGCTACAACATATAAAAGGGGAAAGATGTGCTTGGACTTTGACTTGGGCCTAAGTCAACTTTCTTTTTTTTAGGTTCTAGTATAAATTATAGTAAAAACATAATATATAAAGTTTTCCTTGGGCTGAGGTTGTGGCTCAGAGGTAGAGCACTCGCCTAGTATGCGTGAAGCACTGGGTTCAATACTCAGCATCACATAAAAATAAAACAAAGATATTGTGTCCACCTATAACTAAAAAAATAAATATTAAAACATTTTTCTCCTCTTTTTATACTAGGGATGGAGCCCAGGGGTGCTTAACCACTGAGCCACATCCCTAGCCCACTTGAAACAAGATCTCACTAAGTTGCTGAGGCTGGTTTTGAACTTGCAACCCTCCTGCCTCAGTCTTCCAAGCTGCTAGGATTACAGGTGTGTGCCACTGTGCCCAGATTTTTTGATTCAGCTGATCTGGCTAGCTAAGCAAGTGTTCTCTTTCTCTCTTACTGCTCCATGTGCATCACTGCTGAAGCTATGTGCTCAGTTGAGGAGGACAACCACCCCAGATAGAGGAGGACTGTTCTTTGGTCAAGGGTATATAAGTAGCTACATTCCCATGCTAGAATCTCTAAACAACTCGTTTTTAATCCTTTTTAAGTGTCCAATAAGTGAACTTTAGTATTACTGAAGATGGGGAATAAAGGGCCTCTAATTCTAGTATTCTAGTTCTGCAGGTGAAATTATTTGAAGTAAATAATAACCATATGATGATTTTCCATTTTGTGCACTGAAAGGCACAGATGTTTGTTATTGTATTTTCTCACTGTTAATTCATATTTAAAAAGAAATAAGAAAATCCCACAAAGAAACCTGGATTCTGTTTGGCATAGAATAGAGTTAAAATTTATATAAAATAGGCTCTCCAAATGAGTTTACCCTGACCCACGGGTCTGCTCAGTCCTAGGGTGAATGGGGCACTTGTACATCCCCATTTCCAGGGTGCTAGGCAGCTTCCCAAGGCTGCTCTCCAGGGGTTTACTAAAATATATTTTTTTGAAGATACCAAACACACATCTTCACCCTTCCTGTAATCAGACCATAAGTAGACACACAATCTTGCGATGAATTATGAAGAGAACTAAGCCCCTAGTTTACACATTCATATAGTTGAGAGTTGGATGAATCCTTAGAAAAACTACCCATTCAACACTTGTGTGTTATGAATGAAAAAAAGGAAGTTCAACTATACAAAGAAACATGTCTGAGGTTACTACTGAGTCTACAACCAAGAAAAAATACCTCCTGATGCCTGGCTTTGCTGTAATACACATGTGCACATGTGCTCTTTGATAGCCTTTGTTATTGTGCTATCCTATCACCATTGTGGTGCCTTTCCCTAGAAGGAAAAGTGACCAATGATGCCTTTCCTGTGTCACCAGAGGCTCTCAACCTGATCCTTCCCACATATGTCTCCATTTAGAAATCTTTGTCTTGCAGATTCAGTTAAAAAGGCACTTTGGACAGGCCTCTCAGCTTCTGCCTCTCCTCTCCCAATTCTGTAAGCCAGGCTTCCCCATGAACCACATTGTACTTAAAATACACAAGAGTGGGGGCTGGGGATGTGGCTCAAGCGGTAGCGCGCTTGCCTGGCATGCGTGCGGCCTGGGTTCGAGCCTCAGCACCACATATAGACAAGGATGTTGTGTCCGCCGAAAACTAAAAAATAAATATTAAAATTCTCTCTCTCTTTAAAAAAAATACACAAGAGTGTACCAATCTC